TCAGGGCCAAAGGATATGCCACCTCGACGAATATTTAAAATAAATAAAAAGCGCAGCTGCACGAGCGCAACACAACAGGAGTTTAAGTGCAATATGGGACGTGTGCAGCCCAAATGCTGAGCCTGCACACACAACAGCCATTGCTGCCGTGCGATGCATCTTTCAATATACCAACTGTGCTGTATAGCTAAAGATGCGCTATTTGCTCCCCGCCCCGCCCCCCAGCTACCCGTCTTCAATTGTCTGTCACACGCGCATCATATAATCGACTCTTATTTTGTGCCACGCCGGACAACCTCGGCCTCACAGGCCTCTACAGTAAGGCGGCCCTTTCTGCACATGGCGCTGAAGGCACCGCTTTATGCCCAAGTGCCTGGTTACGGCGCTGCACGAGTTTGCTCACACAAGATGGGATGGGGGTGTCGGGGGGGTGTACGGGGGGTTGGACACAAGACAAACACTAAACGCCATGCAGTGCGGTCAGAGAGTAAACAGTGTCGGGATTGTAATCTCCTTTTTTTGGGGGGGGGGGGGGGGAAATAGGGCTGTTGTGTCTTTAAGAGGGGCTTGCTGGTCCCTCATCGCAGCTGCTGCGTGTGCGTGCGTGCGCGCGCGCGTGTCAGCGTGTGTGCGTGTGTGTGTGTGTGTGACACAGAGGACAGCGGAGATTCATTACTTAAGCAGTACAATGGACATTTATCACCCCGTGGTGTTATTCAAATTCAGTACCAAGCGAGGAGCTTCTCCACTCGGCTCTGCGCGCCTCGCGTCGCGGCCGCAGCGCGTTTTTATTGTCGGAGCGGCGTAAAGAAAAAGCCGGGAGGGCGCAGAGCCGCGACCCATCCGTCCAGTCAGCGTCTCAGTCGGTCCGGCAGAGCCGCGGAGGAAGGACAGGAGGAAGGACAGGAGGAAGGATAGGAGGAAGGCAGCGAGCGAAGAACCGGAGTGAAACGAAGACTCTTTTTCTTTCTTTTCCTCTTTTTTTTTTTTCTTGGTCTCCATCCGACGCATGCTGCTCGCTGGGTGGCTTTTTTTTTTGGGGGGGGGGGACGCAGCAGAGAAATCCGAGAGAACGCACGTCGTGGGAAACTGAACCGAGGACGCACTGACGGGAAATAAAAGGGTTTCCCTTTTTTTTTTCAAATTCGATTTCATCACCCCCCCCCAAAAAAGAGGAAAAAAAACCCGCTCCAATGCCTTTCTTCAAATAAGAGGGGATTTATTTATTTAACATCCGTGGAAAGCCTTTGTTGAGGCAGGTCTTGAGGCACCAGAACTGGACATTCTTTCCCTAAATCGATGACAGTACACAGGTGCAGAAATGGCATCTCCCCGACGTTCTCACTTGGGACTTTGAATCGAAATGAAGTCCACTTAAGCTGCTTGATTCATTTCCTTTTCATTTCTGTTCCCTTTGAGACACTTTGCAAAATGCGATTCTGTGGTGAACGAAAGGAGATGAAATGTCACTTAAAGATGCAATGGCTATTCAGCCATCTTAAGGGCCCACGTATGTGGACAGACTTGAGGGTTAACTTTTCGACCAGCAACCAGTGCAAAGAAAGGGACACAGAACAGCAACTGTTTGAGAAAGTAGGAAATGGGATTGTTTTTAAACAGTAGCGAAAAAGGTAAATTGTGGCTAAAACAAATGTCCTCTTAGCATTATCAAACAGATGCATAAACAAATTTAGGACTTTCTTCGAATGGGTGTTGTGCAACATAACGGGGTCCGCATCTTAATAAGGGAATGTGCTCAAGAAATATTTGTCATTGCAAAAAAAAAAGAAAAATCTTACAGGTTTAGTTCAGTTTTTTTTGCTTGAAACAGCTAATTGTTGGAAATGCACAGTGAGACTTCTTTCAAGAGGCCGAATCCACGACGAATGCTGAGCAGCGAGGATGCCACAAAAAAAATGCACATCTCTGCAACTGCCTCTCTTATAGGAACCAACAAAAAAAAGGAAGCGCAAACAGGTTTCAGTGTCAGTCTGGGCCAACAGCGTCAAAGGGCATCATTAAGGCAGCCGTGGCAGGTGCAGCCATGGGCCTTTTACAACGACGACCCGCGCGCACTTTGGGATTTAAATAACCAAACGCTTGATTTCGTCTTTTGTATGATCTCCACAGAAGGACAAACCGAGTCTCTAGCGACTGATTGTCCAAACGCAATTCTTGAGAAAACTCCAAATTCAACCCCCAAGAATTGTGTATGGACATCTGTTGCTGCAGACTCACATTCATCACCGCTGGCTTTGGACCACGCAGGCCTCCGCGCGCACAAAGGAGGCGACGGGACGGTGTTTATGCTCGGTTTGTTTCTGTATCGGTCTCCTTTCAGGTGAGGTTTTGTGGGATTCGGAGGGAAACATACGTGGGAGCGGACCAATAAAGTGGAGGAAACCTCATTGTGCGCCTCGTGTGATGTGTTTTTTCCCCAGATGCGCGTTGTGGTTGGCCCGATTTGGTGTTTACATTTTGTCGAAGGTCTAATCAGGAGTGTTTGTTTTAAATGGCAAATATCGACTGGAAGTATCGATGTATCGACGGTGTTTTTGCATCAAGAAAAAAAAAAAGCAGTGAGTTCGGGTGTCGGACTGAGGCCTGCATGCGTGAGATGAGCTGAGGACCATCAGACACACGAAGTCACGGAGGAGGAGAGGAGATACGAAGGAACCCGGCAGAATAAATAGACGATGAAGTGTCAAAAGCTACGTTTGGATTAGGAGAATCCCGTATATTTAATTAATACACGAAGAGCACCTTCAGACTAAGCCTTAATCAGGCATATCAACCAGAGATATATTCCTAGGGGAGGTCCAAGGCAGTATTATGGGATGCATGTTCACGTGTTACAGTTCTGTAAAACGCTTAGAAGAAAACAAGAGGCCTGATACTCAAAGCTGTGGAGTCAAACAGCGTCACTGATAAATCACGTGGGACAGGTGTTTTTATCTTCTGGCTTTTTTCATTATTTTTTCTTTATTTAATAATTTTCACTGCTTGGATATAATCATTATTTAAACAATATATTCACTGTTGAAACTCACAAATAGACAATACAAATGATTGATGTCATCAACGAAAAATGCAAATATTTCAGAATATTCTACATTAACCCTGAAGAGGTTTTTTGTTTCAAATATTTTTAAACACTTATTTACAGGATCAGCATTTAGTTTAAGGAAAAAAACACATCCACACAGCCAACGTGTGTTTGTGTGTGTGTTGTTGTTAAAGGCCAACATTTCTTAATTCCATGAATGCCTTTGCTATAGATCTCTGTTACACAATATTTGAAGCCTCTCAATAACAATTTTTTAACTCATTTTTTATTTGAAGCAAACATATTCTTGTCTGTGTTAACAGAATTAAGGAATGTTTTTTTTCTCAAAGGGGTTCCTTTTAATTTATTAACAGCAGGTTCAAAGGTAACACAAAACATTAAATACAAATTAGCATTGTTACATTTTTATATAGATGCTGCTTTCCATTATTTAGACAAAGCTGTACATTCCTAACTTTAGGGATTTTGTTAACCATGGGTTTCAGCACGGAATACTAAAGAAATTGGAGGTAAAATAGAGAGTACATATGGCAACAGTTGATTATTAGCAGTTAATAAGGGTTAAATATATTTATATCTATATATGTTGCAGAACAAACTACCTAAAAAAATATGATGACACTTTCAGTTTAAATCTACAACAATGCAATATGTAAATCATGTTCCTGTAGTTTCTCTCAGCAGCAGCTTCACAAACTGAGCATCACTGTGCAGGTGATGCAGACCAAACCCTGCACGCGTAGCGAGAACGCGCATACACATGCGCAATTCATGGGAAAAATGGGTGCACATCTATATCTCAATTTAGATATAGCATTAATATAAATAATGAAATGCTTAAAGATTCAAAATCTAACAACAGCCCGCCATTTGGTCTAAAAATGGAACAGAAATGCGACCTGGAAGAGGCATCGAGTCCACACACGCACACACACACGTTTTGATGATCTCCTCTCAAAATGAAGAGTCCTCTCCTACATGCACGCGCGCGCGCGCACACAGTCTCCTCGGTATCCTGCACCAGCTGACACAGTGCTACACTTTCTCCTCTCCCTAACCCCCTTCCAGCCTCATTAGCATTCCCTTTCTTCCGGCCTTTATCGGCCGGCTTCCCGTCGCAAATCGGACTCCACAGCCGAGTAAAGGTTTTGGGTCGCCCCGGGCAGTCAGGGGAGGGCAGCCCGGGGGCTAGACCTCGACCTCCCGCGGTGGTCGTGCAGTTCACACCCCACCCACCACATACACGCACGCACACACACACACACACACACACGCAGGCACGCACACACACTTCTAGGCATTTTCCAGCTGAGTGGGGCTGCAGGAGGGTAAAATCTCCCACAAGTCTCGTCTAATCAGCCTAAAACCGCAGCGTGATCACAGAACTATAGGATTAAATCGATCAGATTTAAGATACCAGCAGGAATAATTGAAGCGTGATGTAAAATCCTAATGAGAGAAAGGTTTGGATGCGCCTGTGCGTGCGGTGCAGGCGGCTGAGGATCCTTTACAGTCACTATTACACTTTGGCATCGAGAGAGATGTAGTTCATTCAGTGCAGAAACACGTGACGTGCTAATGAGGAGAGTTGTAGAATAAGAATAATATTGATATGGAAAACAGTTCACTCTTGTAGTAGAAATTCACTATAACAAATATATATTGCAATACATAATATGTTGAATTGGAGGCAATAGGAATTAAATGTCCCTGATGCATTGTATAATTCATGCTTATTTATGTGTTTTCAACTGGATTAATTCCCCTCTTTGAATTAAATAGATTGATAAAAATCAAATTCAATACAAAAGTCAAATTATTATTTCTTTCAAAAAAGGCTTTTAATCTAGTCTTTTATTTTGAGGAAAATTAGAAGACAATTGTAAGAATAAAGCATATTTTGAGAAAGATATCAGTCAAAAAAAAAACCCCACTTGGTCAGAGTATTTTAATAAACAGTGTATGACAAACTATGACGTATTTTAAAACACGGTAAGAACATGTAACCCAATGTGAACATCCATAACTTGCTCTAAACAGATGAAAAATATACATCCAGAAGGAATTTGCAATATTGACATACACCCCCCTCGCCCCCGTAATACTAATACTAATTGTCTAAGTAAAGTGTAACCTTTCATCTCATGCTGATGGTCATCGTAGACCCCAAGATGAGGTCATCTTTATCTTTCTTGATCCCGCAGGAATTGAAGATGTGAGGAGATGACGTCTAAACACCAAAGGCAGGTATTTGCACTCACACCTGGGAATTGGCCAGTACAACCAGCGCTTCTTATGCCGCCCTTCACACCTGTCCAGTCCAGAATCCCCGCCTCACAGAAAACCCCCGTTTTTCTCGGTAATCGTCTCTGAACTTCCAGTGGACCGAACATCGATCCCGGTCCGACCTCACGGTGATGGCCGGTGCGTCCACGGCGACCAATCGAGTGGTGTGTTGTTAGGATGTGGTGGTGGGGGAGGGGGTGAAGGGTGCAGAGGTGGTGGAGGGAAAAAAAGGCGGTTTGAGATGAGCGTACGTTGCACTGCGTATTCCTCGTCCATTTGCTATCCCCCGTGAAGAGTAGAAATAAACACAACGTTGTCTTGGTCTTGTAGTTGGTAGTCCAGCTCCCCCTGAGGTTTGCAAAACACACAACACGGTCAATATTCAAACCCCTCTCCAAGTCGAAGGAGAAATATACGTCTTTACTAATCCAGATGTGCGTATTACTCCCGTGTTCCCGCTGGGGTCCAATCAGTGACAAACCTTTCATTTCATTTTCATCCTGTGTTGCGTCCTGTAATTGAATCAATGGATTCAAATTGAAGCGTTTGCTCCGCGTGTGCATGTAAATATGTGCTCGGATACGAGACCCCAAGGACAAACTTGTCTCGCAGCTGCTTTCGCGTTACATGAAACATTGACTCAGAGAAAATGAGCAACCTCAGTAACCGTGAGGCTGACCTTCCCCCACACGCAAACCGTCCTCAAGACAGAACATGACGATAGGACGTATGACGATAGGACGACGTGAACTCTAGTCATTTGACACTAAAATGCAAACACGGGTCAGCATAGGCTGAAAGAGCGTAACATTAAAAAAATAGCCAAAAAGCATGTTTCTGCAAGAGACACACACACACACACACACACACACACACACACACACACACACACACACACACTCTGACAGTGAACATGGCTCCCAGTGCTCACCATTAGCTCCCAGTCAGCATCATTGATAAGGACCAGTATCCCAGGTCTCCTGTGGGAAAACACAACGAGTTGAGTCAGACACATTTCCCAAAGGCAACACACACAAACACGCGAGCGTGTGTCTGCAAAATATAGAGTGGGAGAGCAGAATGCCTCGACAGATGCACATAAAAAGAATACAATGAGAGAAAATATACGACCTGCATCCTGCATTCAATGAAAACTAATTAAAGTTGTTTTGAAATACAACTAAATGAATGAATGAAACACTAAAGCAAACCGTTAAATGCTGTAAAAACCGTTAAATGCTGTAAAAGAGAAAAAGCTTCCTGTCTTTCTTGAGCACGACATTGTTGTACTGTAAACTGTCTGAATTAGTCATAATCAAAGTAATACATTATAGTAAAAGATTGTTGATAATGAATATACGTAAGTAAAGTAAATCTAAGATATTTGTATTTCTATTGTTTTATAACATCAAAATGTCGCCCAGGAAAATGAATAGACCCCAGTATTCAGTTTGAAAACACACGTGACATTTTTAACATGGTATGTCCATGTTATACTTCACATAGATCATGAAACGGTGTTATTGCCATTAATTATATGTACATTGAAACTGCTCCTCATTGCAAATATCCCTAAAGCACTCTGAAGACTAACAGGAGCAGAAAATATTTTTTCTTCTTTAAATAAAAGAGAAAAAGAATTGTCAGTGACAATTAAAGGCAGCCCCCCAAATAACGTAGAGATGAAGCCTCAAACCCCTTCGGAGGAGGATGTCGGGGGGAAGGAACAGCAAACACCTCTAGGTGCAGTCTCCCTAACGTCGGCCGGTGTTTGTCATTTCGGAGAGCCACAGGGGAAGCTGTTTAGATAATGTGTCGGTGGTGAGATAACGCCCGAGGCGGTTCAAATAAGATCCTCTCCACCCTGATGCTCTATGACGTCAGTGAGAAAGGGCAAAGCGAGTACAGACACGCGGTGAGCAGACACACAACAACAGGGCCGCTTGGAGGAAGAACAACAAAAAAACAACAATTGTCAGCTAATCACACACGTCAGCCATAGATTTACATTAATTTCGAAAGATAATGAAGAAAATCCTGGATGATGGTTTGCTAAAAAAAACAGTGTGCACTTTAACATTAAACACACACACATCAAATGTGTTCGGCTCATACAGGCCAGCGTCGCTTCTATTCATTGCTTAGGTGGTGCTATAAATAGTCCTGCACAAAGGCAGCTGTAAAAGTCGGACAGTCCTATAAGGCTGCGGTGAGCCCGGGACCCACAACACACATTTATACACACGAGTGTGAACAAACCACAAAAACTGAAGACCGTTTCATCCTTCAGCATTTCTGAACTGCAGGAATAAAAATGCCTCGGAAAGCTCCTGGACCCTCAAATGACTCCAGCTTCATTCTCATCATCTCACATCTCCTCACATAGCTGTTCAGATCAAACATTACGGTCACATTTGGCCGTAAATAATATTGGCTCCGGTGGCGTGTAACATCGCATTTAGGCTCATGTTGTTGTACACAGATTGTGTGCGCGCACACACTCACACAGAGTCTCCCTGGACAAAGAGCTCGGGCCGTTCCCTCAGCAGGTTCCGTTGGATCCAGACCAGCAGCTGCTTCACATCCCCTAGAAAACACACACACACACATACACACACACACCCAGACACAAAGGCCATACACAGGCAGACAACAGAGGTCACAGGTCAGCGGTTAAAGGTCAAGGTGCACAGTTCCAGCCTCCTGGTCGATGTGACGCGACAGAAGCACAAGGCGGGACGAGGCTCTGTATGTGTGTGTGCGTCTGTGTGCATGTATATTTATAAGAGAATGGGTATGTTGGGGGGGTGGCTGGAAGTGGGGGGGATGGTTGACTGATGTCACTGGCCAGGAGCGACATTGTTCACCTCGGCCAGAAAGAAATCAAATGAATGATTTGTGTGTGTAGATCCAGACACGACTGAGCAGATTAGAAATGAAAAAATTATGTACGGATCGACGTTTTCAAAAAGGTTCAAAGGAAGGAAAGAATATTAAGAAATATCAAGTCAGACATTTTCCAAAAGCCTCTTCTTCCCAAACAACACAAACGCAATAATATTTATCTGTAGCATCACACTTATAGTGAAGATAAAATATCAGAAAATCCAATATTACAATAGTTATTTTCTTTCTTGAGTCCATCATTAAATGCATTTCTCTTCGCCTGAGCTTGGATTTTAGCCGTGCTTGATTTTTCTATGAGTCTGACCTCCTCAACAATCAGATTGACCTTGTCTCAACGACGGCCTGAGCCCCACCCGGACCGACAGACACGGAGCCACAAAGGCGGCGACAACGAGAGGTTTCAGGATAAATCCCAACAAAACTACCAACGATGAATACATCACGAGTAATGACTGTTATGCCCTCGAGATTCAAGGTGGTGGGAGAGCCTTTTAGTGGGTCTCCTTCAATATCTGTAGATTTTTAATAGTTGTATATTGTACGAAAAAAAATATATATATATATATATAATAAACACACAACCATAGTGAGTCAAAATGCAAGAAAACGTGCACAGCTTATCTTCACATGTGACCGTTTCCTTCTCACTGTACGTGAGCACGATGCCTCGCGAGAACACTGGAGAGCGACAATGCAATTTGTGGTAGCTGTATATTACACACACACACACACACACACACACACACACACACACACTATTAAACTGTAGCGTTGGCCTCCTCGGCCTGTTTAAGCGCCGAGGAAAGGAAGAACGGACGAGAGGTATAGAAATATACATGAGCGAGCGAGAGGCAGAAAATTCATTCCAAGAGAAGTGGAGAAAACTGAGCGTGCAGCAGCAGACGACTCGGATACGAGGGGAAGAGGACCAGGTGTGAGGAGAGAAACCGGCCAACAACAACAGCAGTTCTCACATTTGCAGGAGAAAATAAGAGGATGATGTTCACAGGTAGCTAAATTCAGATTTAATATTTTTCTTTTAAAATATATTATGTCAAGTAAACGGTTTTGTGCAGATCTAAAATTATTGGGAGTCTGGTGCCTAAAATCCACCCAAATACCGTCTTTTTATGGGTTTTCAGATCATGAAATTATACTGACGGAGTGGTTATAAACCACGCACACCACGGAAATGTGGATTTATTCATCCATAGATATTGCACTGCTTACTGATGAAACCTTTCATACAAAAAACCACAAGATGTAATTAAATAAAAAACAAAACTTAGAGGAGATAAAAACACATTCCACAAAGTGCAAAGTGCTAAATATCAAATGCCGGCTGTAGACTTTATCTCGTGACAAAAAGTATTTATAGAAACTCCTGCCTGGTCACTGATGAATGCAATTTATTAATGTGGATGATATGTGATGCACACGGTGTGTGTGTGTGTGTGTGTGTGTGTGTGTGTGTGTGTGTGTGTGTGTGTGAGCGGGCCTGCAGCCCGTTTGAATGGTGCTCAGGTTAATTGCAGCGCTGTCAGCCAGCTCAGTAGTATAATAATAGTGATAGTTTTCTACGGTTCCAAGCCTCCATAAAAAAAAGACAACTACTTCTCCCTGAAAAACACACACACACAAAATAGAGCAGTGAATATTGACCTGCACCTCTGCAGGGCTAAAAACAGAACTCATCACCACTGCAGTCATAATTCCTTCTTTGTGCCGACTCCTTTTTTGTCTCCCTCTCTACGTTTTAACCCTTGTAATTTTTCCCCACCATTACCTCTTATTCGCCCTTTCATCCTCTCGCCCGTTCCGTCGCACACACACTCTCCCTCCCTCATAAAACCTGCTCTCCTCCCTCTCTTTACATCTTCAGCTTTTATTTTTATTTCCCTGCCTCGACACACACAAGCAAACATGTTAAAAGTTGCGCATAGAAAATAAATAGGTTGCCGTTGCTCAATACACAGATCGATAGTAATTCAGAAAGCTTTTTTATAGCAGAAACAGTCGTCAGGCGCTGTCCTTTTAATGGCTTTCTGGTAAAAGGTCATACGTGGGGCAACCAATTCACGTCATCCAACAGCAAAAGGACGTTTTCCAAAAAAAACTCAAGAGAAGATGAAGAAATAAGAGGTGAATGGAAAGAACAGCGACTGATAGGTGTTGGTTTTTAAAAGCACCACGGGGTCCAGGTAGATGGGGGGTGGGGGGGGTGAGGGATGAGAGAGAGGAAAAGTGCGTCACAGGCTCCTGAAGCATCTTGGGATAGCGGCGTTGCGTGAGTGGAGAGGAGACTCAGAGGCAGAGGAGGGAAAAGGCGCCATTTTGATGCTGATTCAAAACCGTTGTCGCCGTTCTTTTGGTCTTTGTGCAATTATGGCTGTCATGTGAGGGGGGGGGGGGATGAGCCATCCATCTTTCTGCTGATGCAAGGGGGGAAAACGGTGTTTCGTTAGACCACGTTTTTTTATTGTTGTGTGCGTGTGTAAGAGAGAGAGAGAGAGAGGGGGGGGGTGGAGGGGGGTTCTTTCAGTTGAGGGTCATCAATCACTGGCTGGGGTCAAAGAGAAATACGAAAGATTCAGAACCAATTATATCTGCCTTCACCCCTTCGGTACTAACAGGCACACGCACACACACACACGCGCGCGCACGCACACACACACACACGTGAGGCAAATGAGTTTGGGAAAAGATTTTCAGGATCAGCAAACCTGCCAGACTCACAACCAGTTCAGACTTAAAATCATGAATGAGCCAATACGCCGAGGAAAGGTTACGTCAGAACATCTGTGCTCCTGTGAAGTTGCAATTAAGAGCTGTGCACAACATGGCAAATCCCTCTCTCTCTCTCTCTCTCTCGCACACACACACAAGGTCATATCTGGCTGACATTCCCTGCTCCGGTCAACTTTTGTCTTTCTGTTGTCATGGTAACATCAGCGCCATGGATGATCACCCTTTGTTTAGTTAAATACCAAAGACAAATATTTCTCTCATTTGTTCACTCTCTCCGGAACACACACACACACACACACACACACACACACACACACACACACACACACACACACACACGAACAGTGGGCAACATTCACAAGCGAAAGGACCAATTGGTTGAGGATGGAAGCAAAGAGAGATATCAGATTATGTGTTTTTAAAAGACTTTAAAATCTATGACCGCTACACTAAACAGATATTGCCTTAAACCAAAAATAATGCAAGAGATAATAATAACAAGAGATAAAGATATAAGACAGAAATGTCATTATTTAAGTGAAAAGATGTTATCAACAGCGTGAAGGATTCGTGAACTTTCGCCTCAAACCACGCTACATTTTAGGACGCCATTGGCTTCCATTGATTTCAATATATAATGTCAGTCAACTTGACGAGGCTGCCAACCTGCTATGTCATCATCGCACTGATGCCTCAGATCTAGTTCTAATTCAATTCAATTTATTTAACTTCATGATCCCACTGCTGGGCCACCATATTGCATTAAAACCCTGCTAGAAAGTCAAAACCTGGGGACAAATTAGAAAAAGATGGGCGGGACTTTAAAGTGGCAATTCTAACCCCAAAACATCAATGGCACACGTCTCTAACTGAGGAGCAGCTATCTGACAGTTCCTTACATTTTTTAAGGAAAAGCATCTAAAGACATATCCCTGTTTCACAATGAGGCTGCCTGTACACCAGGTGATACTCACATGGTTCTGACTGGCTGGGAAGATCCACATGATGTTTCTTCACACCATTAAAAAGCAGCTCTGCTCCACCACTAGATAAAAATGAAAAAAGAGGGAGGTTGACCAATAAAATGGTTTTCAAATACTTCCACAAAATACAGGACAAACGTGGCAAAATACAGTTGCTGTTGAATCTGAACATCGATGTGTGTGCTCCAACCGGCTACAGGGTTTTATGCATTTATCCCTGCTTTATATTACTATACTACTGCACTGTATACATTGCACTCAAACATTTGCCAGACCGTGCCATTATTGTTAGTGTTTTTTTTTTTTTACCTCTGCTTGTATTAAGACATTGTGCAAAAAATGCAAATTATTGCTCAGGGCAGCTTTATGACAATGTTGCCTTTGTATAGGATATTGCATCACTATGGTGCACTTGTACGGTATTAAATTCATTAGATCAGACAGAACCGGCATGTTTATCTAGTTTTTCCTACCGTATTACACTTTCATTAGAGGTTCTATAAATTCTTATTTTTTCCAGGTACTTTCCTTGGGAAGAACTTCAGGTAACATGGCCGTATGTACAAGGCCTCAGTACTGATTGATTGGTGGAATTTAACCTGACAATTGTGAGCACCATCTTAATGTTAATAGAAAAGTCAATCGACAAGGCATAATTCTCAGATTCACAGATCCGACACACTTATTCATAAGACTTTCTAGGAGAGACAAATATTTTAGAAAACAAAATCAAAACTCGGACATTGTTTTATAGTTCTTTTAGTCAGTGTTGTGTTATGTTATCCTGCCATACGTCTCAAAGACTTTGTTGAAAAACAGCTTATGATTTTAATGACTATGCCAACTGACAGATGCATTTACACCCAATTAAATCTATTATTGACTCCATATCCACATTGATTACATCGCATGCTTCTTATTGGACAATTTCCCATTTTGCTTGGTTATCTGGCCTGCGGTTCACTAAAAAAAGACCTCCGCACAAATACTGTGTTATGTAATGATAAGGACCTGTAAAATATACTTCAACTAAATAATAATACAATAAGTAATGTAATAACTAGCGTTATGCATGTACTCATAAGTACTTTATAAAGACTCTCACAGAGACATCTAGCCCAAAGTCCTCGTTTGGTTGAAGCAGGTCTGACTCGAGGTTGCAGGGTCCACATGTTGATGGGTGCTGGTTTAGAATTTAGTTTTACTGGTAATATTCAGCAACTCCTATGATTTTTGAAAAGCATACCGCTGCACGTCCAGCTGAGAAGCAAAAAGAACCAGAAGCAGACCAACGTGGATTAACGTCACGGTTTGAATTGTTTAAGAGGATGTTAAAACTCGTCTTCAGTCAGCTCTGTTCGTTTTTTTGGGTGGTCATTTTCATGTGAACACACAACGTCTCTCTACTCCTGCTTATTAACCGAGAAAACGCGAACTCGTGATGGTAAATATTGAATAAACAAACTGAAAGCTAGCAGACGGCTAACTTGACGTTAGCTGTTATACTTAATTGAAATCTTGTTAAAGTGCGCGAGGGCGGACCGTGCGAAAACAAACTGATAAAAAGCTTTTCCCTCACAACGGCTCACTGAGCAACACAACTCGCAAACTATATTATCATAAAGAGTCTGATATTCGCCTACCCAAACTCCAGGTGAATTGCTATGGGCGCTGCCATATTGAAGGCACATGCAGGAAGTAGTGGGGAGGGTAACCCGGAAGTGACGTCGTGGGTACGATCTTACCAGTAATATGTAACGGACAAATAAAATACTGGACCTTTTTATCAAGGACATTTTTATGCATCATGGCCATTTATACTCTTTTCTTTTTTCTTTTAGTTTCTACTTTATGAACTTACTTTGTTTTAAAAAGAAAAGAAAAAAAATGGCAAAACCTGAAAGCAATCTTATATTTTTTTAATTGATTGTATCTTGTAAATAAACATATTATATTTGTATTTATATTTCTTTAATTGCGTGAACATAATAAAGGACAGTATTGTAAAATCATGCTCAATCTATAACATATAATAATATGTAATGTTTCAGAATGAAAAAAAGAGAATTGTTTTGTTATTTTATTGAAAGTATTTTAATATGTACACTTTTACCTGTACAGTGCCCTTTTTTAACTTAAAGGTAAAGGCAATATGAACAGTTTTGTTCTTTTTATGTTTTGCCTCTTTGAACTTACGAATTCAATATTGTGAAAAAGCCACAAACTCCTTGATCTCAAGGTAAGGGAAGTTTATTTGTATGACATATTTCACAGACAATGAAAAAATTAAATCTGCTTTACATAATGAATTAATATTATTTTTAGACAAATTAATAAAAACAGGGTGTAAATGTTGAAATGGAAATTATAATATAGGAAAAATGTAAAGTAAAATGTTAGCAACAGCTACATAACATTACACACATTGCATGCTGCTCTGTGTTTAGTTTGTACTCTGGGAACACAAACCATCAGTGTAATTGATTCTGTGTAACGGTGACCACGTTTATGAACTGGTATTCCCTTGAACTTAACGTTAATTTATAAAATCATTATATTGGAAACTCATTAGTATGCAGAACTCTCTCTCACGTGCCTTGTGCGTGTGCACGTCTGCATGTATTTGCATTGTGTATGTCAATAGGAAAGTGTCCAGAGGCCTAACATGAGTGTGTGAATGCACATCTGTCTCTCTCTCGCTCCCTCTCTCCCTCTTTGCATGCGTCCTCAATCATACTGGTGACAGTTCCAGTCCCGGTATACAGAGCCGGGAGGATGAGGTTGGGGGGTGGGAGAAGGTCGGTCAGGGGTTTGAATTGCAAATCCGCTGCCTTCTGTTGCGTCCAAGCCTTAGCAGGCCCTTCCCTGTCTTCATTCATGTGTTAATGAGGAGTCAGTGCAGGGGCAGATAGACGGATCGACCAGGGGCCGGGCAGGGGTTAGCGAGGAGTGAGGCGATGGTGGGGTGGCAGGCGGGAAAACAAGGGGGTCCTCTGACGCTGGAGGCCCCGAAGTCGTGAAAGATGATGAAGACATGATGCCGTTAGCGGCTGCAGTCTCTCGTCCTATGATGAGGTGCATACAGTCATGGGGTCCACAGAGGGGGGCAAAGAGGCAGAAGGTGGGGTGTGAGTGGGATTGTTATGGCTGTAAAGTTTATGAGCTATCCAGGAATGATCATCACTGGGTGTCACGTCAGATTTGCTAAGCTGCCTTGAGGTGCATGTAGGGCTGTTTTTAGCATGCAGGGCCTCTTTTGTACTGTGATGGACGTCTGGTGCTTTCTTCATCTCAGTATGAAGTAAAAAATAATGTGTCTTTACATGTATTTGAAAGGTGTGCACAAAAAAATCCTGTTCTTATTTTTAATATGATTATTATATATTAAATATAAAGTTATTCCAAAAATATAAATTCAGGTAAATACGAGGCAATACACCTGTTAATCTATCCTTTGGGGAAAAGCTCATGTGATGCTTTCTTTGTAAAACCCCCTGTTAAAAGGATGTGCTCCTACCCTCCTATTACTAACTAATAACTAGTTATTTAAAAAACATGATTCACTACCTGATTCATGAGGGCCAACAGTTTTCAGAGATTCATTTGAATCAAACCTGTATTTCTTTCTGCTAAAGTCTTGTTTAAACCTCTGTCGTGACAAACTGGCTAACGTATATCCCACCCGGCCATCTCCATCTCAGCCTCCAAAACTCAAAGTTGGATGTGATTTAAGACATTTCTTGATAATAACAAACTTTCCATACCTTCCTGCAAATGGACGTCAAAAGTCAACGCTATGCTGCAATGCACCAGCCATAGAGCAGCCGGGGTCACACATGATCAGATGACAATGACCCACACAATGGATTAGCTATAGAAGGGCGGGGGGGGAGAGATTAGGGGTGAATTGATGACGGCTGGCTGGCTGGCTGGTTGGCTGGCTGGCTGGCTGGCTGGCAGGCCTGGAAGACCACGGTTCTGTTTCAATAAGGGACATAAAGAGCTGAAATTAACATGTACCATGATACCAAGCAGAGAGAATCCTCTTAGAGATTACATCAATAACATGTTACGCCTATGGAACTGTATGGAAAGGGGAGACAAAGAGCAGAGCGAAGGATCATTTTGCATTGCAGCAGATCATATGGCATCTGTTCTTATTCGGTCAGATTTTATTACACTTTCTGTTCTACCTCATAGCTTTGTTAATGTCACAAGTGCAGCAATTCTCCTTTGTTTTTTCCCCCGGTAATCTTTCACCTGGAATAAACCGAGGTGCACCCCCCCCGCATAGCAGCTGCCAGGCCGCGCCACGGCCTCCTTGGTGGAGGGAGTAAGCAGCCGGAGCAGTGTTTCTGCAACATCTGTGTTGGGCACACATACACACAAGGTTACAGAAAAAAAGCAAAACCGAGACAGAAAAAAACAGAAACAGAAAATGCACACATACGGACGCACACAGTCCATCTGTCTTTGTCTGCAAAACAATGTGTGATGCTCCGCACATAACGCGTGGTCACTCCGTCAGGGCGTTTTTTGTTTAACATGACATTGAGGTTTCAGATTTAAATGCATGTGAACTTTAACACTGGTGGAAGGAAGTACCCGGGAGGGTGTAGCATTCAAGAAACCAGTGGACAAACAAAGATGTTGTTGTTTACCCTGAGCAGGACACCTAAATTGGACCAGGGACCAGGATGTTCGTAGCAGCAGTGGGCTCTGGGATAGAGAAGGCTCAATTTGGGTTTGATAGTGGAATGGTGCCTCCTGTTGGTTACTTGTGTGCATTGCAAACCAAGCTAAAACCTCTTACACCATCAATTCTGACCTATTTGTGGCTAATAAATACATTCATTGGAATTCAGTGGTGGTGTCTTTTCTACCACAACAATAATATTCATAGAGAGAAATGTTTTTATAGTTAATACGTTACATCTGGCTAAACATTTCATGTGTTTTCACTGTAAATATGTTGATGTCGTCAGGTGCAACATTGTGGCTCATGAATGTCTTTCTGACCATTTCTGGTTTAGGTCTCTTCATGGGATTTGATTATTATGAGTTGTATAACCAGATAAAAGAATAGTGGTAAAACTGTTTTTGTTTGTTTTAAGAACAAGACAATTATTTCACACAAGCAATTATTTTATTTGAAAAAACAAACAAAAAAAGTGAATTGCTTTTTACAGTTTGTAAAAAAGAAAGAAAGAGAAATCGTGAGATCAATCCTGAAACATTTGTCTTTTTGCTTTTCACGTTCATCTCACAGTCCTATTACAAAAAAGAGCATTCCTGTACAGCATTCAACAGAAGACGAATAAAAAGACATCACACGGTCATCACCTTTTCATCATCTGTGTTATCGCATATCAACCCTAAACCTGTAGGTTTCATATCAAATAATGGGATTACAATTAAAGATTCAGTGTTTTGATAACTAAAGATCGCCCCCTGTTGGACCATTGCAAGAACTGGCCCATGGCTCCTCACCTCATGATCTGATTATAAAGCAGGACAATCAAACACCCAGTGAAGCATCTCAGATACGACTCCAAGCAATGGTTTTATTTTTAGAATTATTTCCGATTGATCGATATCTGACATTACTTTGTTTCGTATCACCAGAGAGAACAAAGCATATACATTGACGTGAGTTTAGTGAACAGGTGTGTGTACCTCAGGGGTCTCAGTCCTTAATATCTTTGAATACTTCTGGGAGTCGGCTCCGGCCTTCTGAATGATTTAACACTGACAGTCGTCCACAACAAAATCCCATAGCTATGATAAAAATAGCTCTACTGCTGGAACACAAGCTATACAATCAAAAGACATTCCCTGCAGTAGGGCTGTGGTCCTTATTTTATCATTCATTGTTTTTCAAAAAATAAGAAAAATAACAGATTCCTCTCCGTTTGGTATCAATTCAGATTATTTTACAGACCTGAAAGATCTTCATTGTTATTATTACCTGCATATTTCTCAAGTTTGACAAGTTGTTATACATTTAAATTAATAGTTTAGAGCAACATTTTACTTCGTATAACATTTGTAGCTTCATGCACCAACCATTTCAACTATTTCTGCATCTTAAACATGTTTTAATAGTAAGTGAAACATTGCTTAAACTAAATCTAAAGAGTACACATCCCATTTTCCCCTCTCTTAGTGCCGCTAAATTATGTGCAAGAAACACACGGTCAAATGTATCAGTGAAACAGTTGCTTTATCCTCCGTAACATTAACAACTCGCAAAGCCCTCATACAATGACAGATAAACATACCCTTTATCCGTCATTAACTTCTGCAAATGTTCCATTCCTGACACATTTATTAATGCACATTATTAATGCGATTCAATGGGACAGCGTGATACATTTAACACGGTTTAATGAATATGCTCTATAAGCTCTGGCAGATTCTCGCGAGTTCGGTGAAGCAACGTCCGTGATGTTTGTGTGTCCTTTGATCGTAACAAATAAATAAAAATAAGGGAAAACACATGAAGCGTTAAATGACACATACAAACGACGGAATGCGAACCCACAAACACCGGCGCGCACACACACTTCCCCACAGAGACCAAACATCTTTACGTGAGCTCTGCAAGTCATTGTTGGTTTCCTGCTAGTGTGGGACAGCAGCTGTTTGAAACAAGAGTCTGTTTTGAATCTGCAGCCCTGTCTGGCCCTAGGGGGGTCGGGGGGGGGTGGGGGGGGGGGGGGGGGGGGGGGGGCGCACTGTACACATGTCACTGTTCCGGCTCCAGATGACGTCCACGGAGAGAGAAATACACATCGAGGTCATCACGTTTTGAAAGTGAAACCCTACTTTTCGGTTTGTCCCCACTGCTGGTGCTCTGTCAGCTGCCTCTTTGCCTCCCCTCCCTCTCCTTGCGTCCTCGCCGTGGACTCTTCCACATCGTCCTCTTCCATCGCAAAACAAGACCGTACCACGCGGAGCGCTGTGCGCGGACGGGGGTCGTTTTGGAGGGGCCGGTTGTCGGGGGGGGCAGGTGCTATAGCTCGCTGTGCCGCACCGGAGGCTCCAGCTTGTACGAGAGAGCCGTGAGGACCTTGTCGAACTTCTCGTAGCGCTCCGACTGGCTGCCCTCGGAGCCACGGCTGCCCCACAGGAGACGCATCTGGAACTCGGTCTGGAAGATCTCGTGTATTTCTGCTCGCTCCTGGAATCCTGCAGGCGGGAGGAGAGGAGAGGAGAGGAGGGGGAGGGGACTCTTTTTAAATGATGTAGTAATAATAAACGTAACATAAGAACTAACTGCTATTTGAACGGGACCTTGTTTCCCGTATAACCCCCCCCCAGATCACAGGGATGTCAAGGGTTCCACTTGTTGATGAAGACCACGATACGAGGTTGAAACATTATTCTATCACACTTACAATAAATATCTACACTGAAGTAATCAATCATATCATTTTAATTGCCATTTAGATAAACTATAAATAGCTTTGGAACAAATAGACATCTTTAGCTGAACTAGTTTTAGGATCTTAACTTCGGCTCATAGAAATATCGATGAGGAGGGCAGACTGAAGTCAGGCTGATCGATAGCGAGACACATAACAGGAAACAGAGATGTGAGCAGATGGCTATTGGCACACTGTTCAATAATGCAGTAATGGCCTTAAACTGAGAATCATTTGGGGAGGTAATCGGGGTCAATACAGTTAACGTGGTGACCGCATACAATCGGTACATCAAATCAGTGATCCTGAAAACATTCATTATACACGGCGATGCGTTAACATCATGAGATGTAACAAAATGACAGAGAAAATGGTTTATTTTCAGAGTTTCTAAAGGTCAGTGTGGATGACTGATGCCGTATTAATGAGCGCAAGCCAAACAGTTTTGGGGTAAAAGGCTGAAGAAAAGAATGTACATTTGCATTAACTTGAGTTACCATACGTGAAGCGACGGTGCGAGCACCACACTTACCCTGCAGTTTGGTCTCAGTGTTGCTCCTGTAGATCCCCCCGTGATGTGCCATGGTACGAGCTGCCTCCAGGTGGTACATGACCACATCTACTCCCACCTCGGCACTCTCCCAGGGCTCCAGCGCCTCGCCGACCGCCATGCCCCGCTCCAATAGGGACAGGATGGGGATTATGTGGGGCACGGACGTGTTGGCGAGGGCGTTCGACTCTGTGTCCACAGGGGTGTTTCCAGTCGAGAATTGTAAATACATAAAACCGTTGCACGTTTTTCAGTGAAATATGACACACATGCCAACGCAGTCTCACCTTTTCCATCGTTCATATTCTTCATGAAAGGTTTTAACTTTTTCTCATATAGAATAGCGCCCTCTGTGTGTCTCTGGCGTAATGTCACCCACGTCTGCTCAAGGCGGGAAATCTGTGGCCATGGATGACATGGAAAAGAACCCGTTGAGGATATTTTGCACACGATGGGGACTTTTATCCGTTTGATTTGTATCTGTATAACTCGTACCTGCGGCAGCTCCAGGGCTCTCATCACTGCGGCAAAGCCAAACATGTTGCCCAGGTTGCTTTTCAACTCCGCTGCCAACTGGATGGTCTTGTGGAGCAGCGCGGCCCTCTCCTCTGTGCTGCCCGTGCACCCGAGCAGGTCCACTGCCATCATGATGGACATGGTGTAGAACCTGAGGTAAAAAGAGGAACGCGCTATTCAATACGATGCATCAATAAAAGCGATTCACTGCTGCTGATGGGGAAGCAGAGGGCGTTGAGTTATAGTCCATATTGAAAGCCACTCTGGAAATCCACATTGTGGCCGACAGTAAAGTGTTAGAAGATGAGAACAGAGGAGGAAAGAGACGAGAGGCGATGGAGGGGTAAGACCAGAAGCAAACCGCTAATCAATAGATGAATAATGAAGTAGTGAGGGAGTGATGGATAAAAGGGAGACAGTAGGAAAAACAAAGCGTGCATGTACCTCTCCAGTAGATCAAGTCTTAGCTGGTGTCCATGCGGTAGTGTGAGTAACTCCAACCCAGAAGACACTCCCATCATCCTTTGCAGCTCCGTGGTTACACCTAATATTCTAGCCACCTGTCCAAGAGTAACGAAAACAAAGATAGAGACGTTTGCTGTTTGTGCATTGGAGACATGGGATAATGCATCAGCGTGTGTTCTTTTGTCTGCACGTGCATGCCGGTGTGCTCGCATGTGAACTGCATACACACAGGTGCGTGCTTTTTGCATACCGTGCAGTCCGCCATCGTGATGTGTACAGCCGCGGTCCTTGCATCCACCTCAGCCAGCAGCTCCTTCACTCTCTTCAGCACCGACATCTCGAGAGGCTTGTTGTCAGCCGGCATGAGGCAAGACGCGTACCTGCAAGAGAAGACCAAGTTCCTAATAAATGGCAGCCATCCAGCCCTCACTGATAGTCAGCAAGCGTGTCGACCCTTAAATACTCAGCAAATCAAATGAACCCCGTTGCAGTGACGAGCTTCTACCATCATCTTTAATGAATTGAAAGTCAAGCCTTAAAAAAGGTACTTAATACAAAGGAAGGCCATATTTCTGTCCATTTTATTTCTCCCTTGGTCGTGACTGGTATTTCTTAAGAGGACTTTCAGCGTAAGCAACTAGACACTTCATCACTGTAATCCCAATCATGTCCATTAGAATCCTTTTCCAGGCAAAAAGAATAAAAACAAGAAGTCATAAAGAAGTGACTGCCACTGACATAGTGAAGCACATAGAAAATAGTAAGTTGTTGTGGGCTGTTTTTAGCAAAATTGTTCTGCTTATCGAGCTCATTGTTGCACAATTCGGCAACTCCATCGCCGCCACTTATGTTTGGGTTTATACTGCATTTGCATGTGTACCTGGACGGCCTGAACGAGGACGCCGTCTCCACCTGCGGGGCGCTGAACACCCCCTCTCCCTCCACCCTCGCTCCATCCGCCCGCCCGTCTTCCACTCGCAGTCGCTCCACGTAGCTCTTGTTCGGGGGCTTAGGGGGCCCGGCGGGACATGGTCTCAGGTCACAGTAGCTCCCCGCGGTTTCTGAGGAATGGGTTTGGTGGCCGGGATGGCGGGCGGGCGCGGAGTGCGGCGGGTGCGAGGTATGCGCGGGATGCTCGGCAGGGTTGTTACCGGCCGGCGGGCTGAGCTCAGGGTCGCTGGAGCGACGCATCTGGGGGGAGGGAGGGACAACAGCCAGGACCCTCCCGCTGGAGTGGGCTCTCTGCCTGGTGACTGCAGGAAGAGAGAGAGAGAGAGAGAGAGAGAGAGTCTCACGGTGTCATGGAAGGCTGCGATTGCGAAAGGGAGAGAACTTTTGGTTTTTGCGTCTGTGGCACTTACTGGCGCTGTATGCAGGAGACCGAGGGGTTTCCCCCACAGGGGACAAGGGGCGGCGATACTCCTGAATCTGGTCCATGCTCATCGCGCAGTTCCGCATCGCGTCCTTATGGTGGTGGATGGTCGACGGGCTGAACACACAACATTTTTAGGGTGTTAAAACTCTTTGGGTATGGATTTAACATCTGTAAAAAGGAACTGAAGAGAACCTCACAAAGGGAGAGGAGTTCAGGGGGTCACATACAGGTTTCAGATGGCAGGGATAGTGTTGATAGAGATGCAAAGGCTTTTGGGGCAAGAAGTGGGGGAGATTTTAGTTGCTTCAATCTTGAAGACAATTATTCTACTTTACAACATAACGTGTGTGTGTGTGTGTGTTATTATTCAGGAATACAAAACATGTCCGGACCTTAAAGCAGGAGCACATCATTTAGAGGTGATTCTTTTAAGAGATTAACTTCAAAATTTCCATATTTAACTAATGTAACGGGCATCCATTAAAGTAACAAGTATCCTCAAATATATATTTTACACATACTTCTCTTCTGTTATTGTTGGTTTGGTTCCATTCTCTAAACTCTTTTTCTTACTCCCAAAGAGGCTTTGGCTTTCTTCCATTGTAAACACACTGTACATATTTGTCTGCTCCTTCTTTGTAGATTCAAAACGACTTGTGCTGAATGAAACCCGAGGGATTGCAGTGTAGGAGCGGGTAACAAGGTAACAAGTCCCCCCTGGGGACAGTAAGGAGGGGTCTCGGGGGCTAACGGTGTTTGTGAGGTGAGGTGACTTAAGGGTTGTGGGAGGGAAGTGCGCTGGTTTAGTGACCAAACACAACACCAGTGTCACACATGCACACTCGAGACAACCTGCAGTTGGGCACAGGTTCCGGCTCTGGTTCTGGAGGGGTCACTGGTGTCTTAACTGGACTGGGACTGTCTGAGTCACTGATCATGTATGTAACATAAAGCAAGAAGGAAATGTCATGAAAACTGCAAAAAAACAAACAAAAAGGCCGGGGTTTTATAGTTACATCACTGCCCCAAAAAAGAAAAAAGAACGACCCCCCCAGCTCACCTGTGGGATATCATCTTGTCCATCGTCAGCCCGTCATTCATGGTGACGCTCCGCCTCTTGATGTACGCTCCCCTCTGACTGGACGGCGAGTAGGCGGAGCTTTGCTTGCTGGCGGCCAGAGCGAAGGTGGCCTCCAGGTAGCGCAGGGGCAGCGTCCTGCTGACCGGGCAGTAGATGTGGACCCCGCTGGACTGGGACACCGGTTTGCGCTGGCCGATGTAGAAACGCACCAGCTCCTGGACCGAGTCGAAGCTGTCGGCCTCCAACACATACTGCACCTGAGGAGGTAAGAGACGAAATCATTTGTTATATCGCCTTTGTTTGTTTTGCTTTTGTTCCAACTTCGGTATTTTGGAAATCGGTCTGGAAATAGAGCGCAAAATGCTGCTGTTCTCATAAAATTTATAGTGGGAATCGAGACGAGGAGGCAGACAGAGAAGCAGAGAGAGGAACAACAGGTCAACGAGGCCAAAAACACCAAATCAGCCCGAAATAACTTCCATCATTAAGGTCTATGAGAGAAAGGAGTTTTATAACTGAAGGAGGCCTCTTCAACCGGAGGACGTGTCTCGACTGGCCGAGCTCAAACAATTACGTTTAAAAGGTCATTTGATTTGGGTTAGGATGAGTGGGATAACAGGAGGAGGTCACGGGCAACACTCGTGGCTATAAAAGGACAGGTTTAATGCTTCGAGTCGAGACGCAGCGCATCAGCCAACCTTTCACAGGTCAAACACAGGTGTGATAACGGCTTCTCGACTTGCTGCTTCCTGCCAGGAGGTTCTGTGCTCATAAGATACCAGTAAATAAGGTTCAACATGCCTCGAAGCACCGCGTGTCAAATGCAGAAAATGCCCCAAAATTCCAGGATGTCCAACTGCATTTGGTCGCATTTTGCAGTATGCAAGCCAGCGTGCTTGTGCGGCTATTCTAACCCCAAACTGCACGAATGAAAACGTATCACATCGACTGAGCCGCCATTGACAAAACTAACGATGACAGATGGCAGAGCTTTCATTGTTTACGCACAGTGTGAGGATGAAGTAGTAAGTCCTGTTTGTTTGCGTACTGCATGCAACGCTGCGTACTTGTGTAAAGGCATCTACTGTACGTACTTAAAATGAAACATATGCAATGTTGATGAAAGTTTAATTCTTTGATATTTTGGGATTAAATAAACACTCAGCTTTATTGTCTTGTAGACGCACAGAACATAAAATAAAAGTCAATCCACTTGTTAAGAAACGAGTGCCGACGGGTGCCGGCCAACGCTTTCACACACACCTTGGTCTCATTGGATTTGACCAGGACTTTGCTGATCTTGAAGTGCAGCACCTCGTTGTCCCACCGACAGGTCAGCACGTAGTCGCCCACGCCGGCCAGAGAGTCGCGCACGAGGAAATCTCCATTACGCACAACCAGAGTCTCCGACACCTAGACAGAGGAAAAAATAAAAAATATGCATGAGATCGGAAGCACAACATCGGCTCTTCAAGAGCCAGCAGCTCACTTGGCTCACAGAATGTGAATAATTGAATTTATAGAATCGTGATTATTTAGAACAAAGCCTTGGGACTGCGATTTCCCCGAACAAAAGCAACCAACTCTCTCCTTGCCAAAAAAAGTCTTTGCTATGCACGGTTGGAAATGGCAATGATGGATGAGATTCCAGCAGCTGTGGCTGGAATGACTTTCTGAGGAGACATTTTATCGAGCTCGGCACTTTTTTTTTTTTTCTTTTTAAAAATTAAAAAGAAAGTTATTTTGAATGTATTGATAAAACAGCCAACCCCCCCCCCACCCCCCGAGAAAAGCAAGCTCCCACTCTTGGCAAATGCAGCAGCTTCAGGCTGCACATCTTGCTCATTCCAAACGCGGCGATGTGGTTCTTGTCTGTGTGAAGAGAGCGCCAATATTGATGTGCTTGTAGCCATGTAGGAAAACAGAAACATCTTTCAAACTGAGCAGTGGTGCCTTTAAAGCCATTCCTGCGTAGAGACGAATGACGAGGGCCGACGATGTGACACGTTCAAACGAGGTATGAAATATGCAGCACAGCCCGGCAAAGGCGCTTCAGAGGCCACCAGGGGGCAGAATACACAAGGATCAGACCATCAGTGACCAAGCGCAGGTTCCTGGCGTCGCTCCCATTAGCTTTTCAGATGCTTTTTCAAACTTGACTACAAATAAAGACTATATATCCTGTTTTACACTGTTAAATTGGACAAAAAATCTATCTAAAAAAAATAAAAGTAAAGCCACATTGGTCCATATTGGTTACACGCCTTGTGCACATACAGACATCTTTAAAAAAACAAACAGAAAGGATGGACTTGATGTACAGCACCAACCACGTGTGTGAAGTCTAATCTGTAAGTATTGTTTTGGTCCCCAGAAGGCTCGGGGTTTCCCCACGTTTCCACCGGGGTAAACCATGAATATATGAATATTTTATGTAGATTAAAAGAGCAAAGATGGTTGATATGAATCCGTCTGTGTTTATTTGTGTGCGAGCGAGACAGAGAGCGGGAGGTCGATCAAGAGACAGAGGTAGCATCCACATGTGCACGCCATGCGTGTGTGTGTTTGCAGGTCTGTTGTGTGCATCTGTGTCTCAGTCACCAGCTGTGACACTTAACAGCGTAGATCAGCGAAACACACAGCTGTCTGTTGGGCAGAGTTTCGACTCCTCCCGAACGCTCCTGAGCTGTGACAGATGACGGGATTCTGTAATCAGTGTCATTCTGTGTATTAAGTATTAAAACTGTGCTTTCAGTGCCAGAGACATCGGCCAAGTAATCACTCAACTAAATTCTATTGGTTGACAGCCACATCCAACCCACCATGACTACTATTGTGTTTGCACTTTCCTCTTGCACTTTTTTGGGATATATAAATCCTACCATCAATACATCTTCATTAATATTTGTTTCACTGCCACAGGGGCTGAGAGAATTTTAACTTTAAGCCATATAGTCATATTTTCATGAAGTAGGGATATTTCTTGACAAATTATGGTTTTATAACTGAACAGACAAGCAATGAAGCTTTGTTTTACAGTTATATGAAACAAAAAGAAGCAGCAGATATTCAGAATTCTTTTGTTTCAATTGGTTATCGAAATTTGCTGATGAACTTTTCATTGATTCTGAATGGATCATTTCAGCTCATAGGATTGCCTGCACGGTTGTGTGTGTGTGTGTATGTGCGTGCAGGGCCATCATGTGCACAGGAGGTAAATTTACCTCAAGGGTCAAGTGCCTTGGATGTTGTATCTGTGTACCCATCTGTTGTCAAACAACCAATTGTGTATTCTCTACAGTACGGTACCTCTCTGGGTATGTGTCCATGGTACCAGCCATGGCTCCGAATGTCAGCAGCACTCAGTTTCAGCTCCTCCTCCAGCTCCTTACGAAGTTTTTCAGGAGGAGACTCCAGCAGGTACTTTTCCTTGGAGAACTGCGTGGAACAAACACAAGAGAAGAAACACGACATCAGTGGGAGTGAGGAGCCGCCACAAGCTGCCCTTCGGCTGCATTCATGTGTAAATGACCAAAGATCAGTCTCTACACAGCTTATTTATTCAGGTCCATCACGTAGAGATAAGGAGCTAATTCATAGATTTATTCCTAAATGATTTGGAATTTACAATACATACAAAAAATATATATAGATCCGATATATAGCAACAAGGGTGTACGGTGCTTTACAGAAACACACCTGTGTTACAGAGGGCCACACAGCAGGGAATCAACACACAGTAATCTCTCTCTCACACACACACACACACACACACATCCAATCCAATCGACCCTGACCTGATTACTGAGAGGCAGAAATTACACTCTTATTGTTGTTACGTACAGTGGAGACGTGGCTTTAGCTTTTGAGTGTGGTCACTCAGGATGGATTATAATAATGACAAATACATATTCACACTGTGTGCGTGGAATTAGATTTTAGATTTCAAAGCTTCACATTTCTGTTTTCACAAAGAACCGCACTTGGGGGAAATCTGGGATGTTAAACATGGAAATTAATTCCACAGAAGATTTCTGTGATTCTTTTGATACAACAAATCTACAAGTCTTGTAGAGTGTGTCTGAAATAATGACAACAAGCATGTGGGCTTCTTAAGTGATATTGACACCACCATTGGTTGAATTCCCAATCAAACTTTGCACAATAAAAGAATAAATAAATACATTTTACAGATTTCCCATAGGGATTAATAAAGTATATATCAATCTAACTAAATAAGTGTATTGCAGTAAAATGTTTTAAGATTGTATGTGATCTACTAAGGAAGTATTTGAAAGAAAAACACAAAATCCCACACTGGGACGTCGATGCGACGTGACAACCGATGATTGTGGAAAGATTGGGTTCAGAGATCTTAGATGAGGCAAACAGGGGACACACAAAACAAAAACTCTCACACAATCAACTTCAAAATGGAGCGAGTAGAAATCCACACAGGAATAAACAGTGAAAGAAAATCATTTCGACTCTGCCAATATGAGGAGAAATGAGACTGGGACCAAAATAAACAGTACGCAGCCGTGTCACTGAGGCGACCCTGTCGTTCCTCCTAATATTTCCCTTCAATCTTTCCCTCCCTCTCGCTCTCACTCTGCTTTCTCTCCTTCGCGCACTTTTTAAACTTCTCATACGTTCAACAAAATCACCATAAGTTTCAAAGACAATATAAGTGGGTGTGGGCGAGGATTGGAAACTCTATGTGTGTGTGTGTGTGTGTGTGTGTGTGTGTGTGTGTGTGTGTGTGTGTGTGTGAGAGAGACATGAGGAGATCACAAGAGCCAAATAATCAATCTTATGGTCTCCAGGTCACTGCAAGATGAAATTATTAACTTCCTCCTCCTCCCGGCTCTCTTCAACCTCTCTTCTCCAGTCCTCTGGGGGGAGGTGGAGGAACACCGCCACGGGGGTCTCACGCTCGCCCAGATTAGATTTGAGGTGTGTGAGTGCACGTGTGTGTATGCGTGAAGAGGCCAATAAAAGGGCAGAGGGGTCAAGTGTGCCGTTATTGCTTTTCCTGGTCTCCCTGGAAACCCAGGCGAGGCCTGCCACTGAACTGATGCTCAACAACGAACTTGGTGTGTATAAATGTGTGTGTGTGTGAAGGGTTATGGAGAAAATTGAAATGTCAGAGGGGCTCTATTTATGATACGGTTCAGAGAATAGGCCGACATCAGGGGGGACACATTGAAAGAGGGATGAAAAACAGATTGACAATACAGAAGCGTTAAAGCAAAAGTGATTTGACAAGGACACAGAAGAAAACATCAATTTGACTGTATTCATACATATGAGGGAAATTGAAAGTATGTTTCCAACACGCATGCATTTAAACGCATTCACACTCTCCTCCTCTCTGAATCCAGCGGATGTTAATATAAACACTGTGCTGCACAGAAACTCATCCCTTATAAAGAGAGAGAGGGTTTTGGGGGAGGGGGGGGGGGTGTCAGATGTGAAGTAGAGGTGTGAGAGCACAGAAAATGTGAGAATAAAGAACACAATTACATCCAGGAGAAATATTTGAACGGTGAGAAAATGGAATGACACAAATGGAATTCAATCAATGGGAATGGGACCAGTAGGATTTTATTATCCTTCCTTACTACGTTTAATGCAACTCTCGTACCCCCACTACACTTAGTCCTTGGTTTCCATAGCAACGTATTATGTTAGTTTGCCTGCGTGCGAAGAAGAGTCTTCCATCTTTCATCCCTTAGTAGCAGCAGCTCTACTGATACTTTTACTGCTAAAACAAATCTTATTACTACGCCACTAACGTACAGCGTAGGACTGTTAGGACAGTTTTTACTTCCATATTAAAAATAATCATGAGAGTGGATGCTCACAGCTCACATACAGGGTGGCACAGGACATCAGATCAACACACTTGGGAACCGAGAGGCACAGAAGCAGACATGTCAGAGACAGATGGACAAAAGAACCAGAATACGTCCAGACGTAAGACATTCAGGGCAGCAGAAGAGACAGACAGACAAAAACTCATTACTGTGGACGGAGAGGCCGACACTGTACGCAGGGAGACAGGTAGCCCATTAGCAGTTGAAAGAGTTTGGGCAATTTAGCAGCTGATGCAGGACTTTGTTTCCCCTGGGGGGGCAGAGAAAGGAAAAAGTGATTGTTCTGCGTATGTGTGTGTGTGTGCGTATGCAGGGTGTGTATGTATCCTTTCATCCATGTAGCCGTGGCAGCACAAGTGTGTGTTCTACATGGGTGGCACTGTTAACGGATGGAGCTCTATTCTTGGTTAGCAAGGATAAGAGCACCATTAGTACAAGTATAAGACATATACGGTTTAGACATATGCGTTCACTATGATGGTGGGTGTACTGGATGGATCGGGGTGGCGACAGGGGTCACAGGGAGTCTGTGCATGTGTGAGTGTGGAACTATAGATAAGTACACGGTGTGATCGACTAATTTACACCAATATGCAATTGAGCCAATTAGACGCGATGGCGCCGGATGACTTGGCCACACCCTCCCCGAGTGACAATCGACACCGCTGTCACCCCAGATCGGCGTGAAGCTGAACATGGACTGAAAAGGAAAATAAATGAAAGGGATGATAATGTGGAGAAACTGTAAATGTATGCACATATTTATACATATATTATGCAAGAACAGGCCTTTTTTTCCTTTGCACATTTTGTGTTCTGCGGCCCTGGTTTTGTTCTGGTGTCTGTTCCACGGTAAATTGGTTATTTTATACGGTCATCTCTTTGTCCATCCTCCATGCTTTCTGTGTTCCTTGTTTTCTGTGTCAGTGTGCAGGGTTTGCAGTTCCAAAGTAAAAAAAGGAAAAATGATTTGATTTCAGCAGACAATCTTAAAAAGTCACTGCAGTCAGATTGAACTAAAAGCCTCTCATCATTGCACTGTGGTTCGGTTCAATGTGGAGGCAAAACATGTACAGCCACAGGTATTTACAATGCACAACGCAGTGGGAGGCAGAGTGTTAAAGTCTGGCACAAATCAGCATGTTGCCGCTTCTGGTTGAACTAGTTAGTTTGCCAATTATCGTGGAAGGAGCACAAAGGGAAGAACCTTGAGCGATTTGTAGGGATGCGACTGAAAACAAACAACTCCAGTGAGTGAAGGCATGAATGAGAAATGAAACGGAGGATATTTGTTGGCAAGTATAAAAACCTGCAGGGAGGTGAGTCTCAATTACCAGCACGGATACAAAAGGAAAGCAGGAAACGAGAGGAACACATTCCAACAGAAGAAGCACCAACAAAGGGGAGCAATGCCTCCTCGGCAGACTGCAGCACTTAGATCTGAGCTCATGTCGGGATGCATCGTCTTCCCTTTTCAGTTCCTAGGCTAGCCTCTAACCCCGTTGTCGTGGTAACGCCCCGAGCGGCAGTGATGGTGACAGTGGGGGTGGGGTAAGGGGGGGGGGGGGATTTGGGCGATTTGGGGTTAGAGACGCGGCAAACAAACACATACACACACGCACATGTATGTACACATACATGTGCATAAAGGGCAGGGGTCCCTGCAATCCCTTTCTCTTCCTCTCGCCCCTCTACAACTCTATGTATCCGCTTTTTTTGAGAGATAGAGACCAGGATTATCGCATTAGGACCCCTGAATCCTCCTATCTCCTATTACACACACACACACACACACACACACACACACACACACACACACACACACACACACACACTATATGAGCTGATGTGTATGTGCGTGACCAATATCACCCCTCTCCAGACTGTTATAATCCCTCTGTGCCCTCTGGCCTGATTTCCACTGTTACATTCACACCGGTTCACACGGGTATAAATGGTCTTTAACTCACTGTAAAACGATACGAGCATCAGAGAGGAGTGCTGGTAACGTTGCACCTTTGTTATTTACCCTGTATTCTTTTCTTAGCAAGGTGGGAATGACATTGAACCACAGCTAATGAAACTGCTTTTGCAATGATGAAATAAAGAACGCTCGACAGCGCGTTCAGTTTGAAGTCATCCCGAGCAACTGCAGAATAACAAGCCGCAACCCTATTAAATAGGTGTGAATGTCCTTGACCCATTACTTTCGTTCTTAGTGTCAAATCGTCATTGAAAGATGACATCCATGCACACTACGCACAAAAACAAAAAAAATGTCCTACTTCTTAGAGATGAGCATCTTCCTTCTAGGGTGAAAAATGCTGTGAGTACATTAATTAATTAATCCAATGTGACAGAAACTCAAAAACAAAATCCTAATGGATTCACGCGTAAGGAAAGCGAATTCTTGTTGGGCCAAAACTATTGTCACGATGAGAAATCAAAGCTTTGGCTGTAAGTAAGAACAGTGTAGTCATAGACCCGGAAATAAAGGGCTATTCATATCCTTTGCAGTATTGAGTCCATGCTTCTCACACACGGCCTGATGTCCCATGT